ATTACTATTTGAGTTTGAAAATTTCTCACCTCGAATATGCGTTTTTCAACCATAAGTGACTCAACTTCATCTCTCCCTAGAATGTCTCCTTTTTTGAGTATTTTTAAAGCATAGTAAGTTGAGTTCGGTTTATACTGCGCGAGGATAACCTGGAAAGAAGAAAACAAGGTATATAAGATATGAAAGAATACTCATAATGATTTGACAAATGTAAGAGAACACAATAAGCAAACTCACTTTTCCAAAGTGACCCCTTCCTAGTACACTAACCATACGAAACATATCAATACACAGATTCGTACCCTTTGATACTGAAGGTGGTGTGGCTATCGGAGCCTTTTGCTTTATAATCTGCAAATTATCACTGTTAGAATCATAAAAAGCATTGCTACAGATCTGCTCACATGCAATAGACTGTTACAAGATTTAGAACCGGATTGTCTTAAAAACGAGCTATAATTTCAATTTTACGGTAATCGCTGCAAGAGTAAACTATCCTACCGTAGATGGCTGAGCAGCTGCACCATCTGCTTGACTTGGAATAATCGGTATAGATTTTCTGCGACGATGATCTGCTACAGTATTCTGAAACAACGAGAAGCTGCAAGAAGCATTGTGAAAGTGGGGACAGAGGTTTTCATTGCATATTAATGTAAACTATGTAAAGTATTTCATTTACACGATTGCAATAGAGCTTAGCACGGGTAGTAACCCAAACTTTATTCTTCTAAAAAACAAAAAGCTTATGAAAGAGAAGAAGTATAGTTGGCAGAAAGATGTGCACTTGCGCTGCACTCTTGCAAGCCAGTATGATTTAAATGCTTGCTACTGTGCTTGGAGGTCAAGAAAGACTTTTCAATGCATTCACGGCAGCGTGCGGCACTGGCGCCGCAGGCGGAAAGTGCCATCTTACGCGTTCTAATTTTTGAGATTATCTGCTTGATAATTTCATGTTCCAAAAGGATTATGTATTTCTGATGAACTGATTCCAAATACCATCGATTTCCCGTGGGATTAAGCTATTGCAGAGGTCAAAAAGGTCACGAATGGGTTAAT